CGACCGCCCTAGACCCACCACTGAAAAACGATTTCTAGGTCTCACGAGGTATTGTACACAGAGGGTTCTTCGTTAGGACCAGACTAAATCCTCGGTGACAGCCCCTCTCCTGGGAACACCAGCGCGAACACCCATTGTGCGGCCTAGAGCTCGCTCCTCAGCAGCCCTCTATCCTTGGTGGGTCTAACTTACTCTACGTTTTAGAATCTGCCTTGAAGCCAGTGTTCTCCAAACTGCACAAACTTTGTTACTTAATCGATGCACGTGTCTAGCCGAGCCAGCAGCTTCCATCCTATGAAATACCATTCCTTTCTCCTATCAGTCTACGTATTTCTAGCCATAACTCTTTGAACTCTGCTATGCTCTTTCCATCCCCAAAGAGGGGAAAATGCGTTTTCTCCGGTACTTGTGCAGGAATCGTCCACACCCCACGCGGACTTACTAGAAATGCCTTTGGGCGATCCACACTTGATGCTGATTGTTGATGGGTCAGATTTACAGACAGAAACAGGAAATGAGCAGGCCAACTTATGTCACAGCAGATCTCAGAGTAAGATTCATTACAGCCCAGGGAGCAGAACTGATTGCTTTCCTTAGAGCCTGCCAACCAGCTAGAGAGAAGGGTTACTAGTCTGCCAGTAGGTGTGCCTAAAAAAAAGAACCATAATGAAATATCGAACTGGAAGTAATGATATATATGCTGAAATTATTTAGGGATGAAGTATACCGATGGCTGCAGTAGCTTCCTAGCCCCTTCTAGGGGCTTCTTTAATAAAGACTTTCAAGTAAGGATGGAAGGTTCTTACATCTTCACAACCGTCCTTCGCAAGCCCTGGCCTCTGTTGGATCTCCAGCCTCGTGGCCGTGCCCTCCACACTCGGCGGCCTTCCCTCCCGTGAGTGAGTCAGCTGTGCTCCCTCCAGACCTCAGGGCCTAGGCACCAAGTGTTCTCTGGACCTGGAATACTACTTGTTCTGGTCAGCTGGTTGATTTTTATACGGTCCTTTCAAATCTTCTAGGGCAGAGAAGTCCGTCTTCCCAGACTAGGTCGGCACGTGCTCCTCTTCCCTTCATTGCTCCCACCACGGTCCGGAGTTACGCGGTCATTGAGTATTCCCACAAGTATTTATCTTCCTCATAAGACCGTTACGGGGACGGGGCTGGACAGGGCTGCTGTGCTCGCCATTGTATTCCCTGTGTCTGGCTTGGTCCCCAGCCCATCAATCGCTAGGCGCTCAGGAGGTGTGTTGGGTAAATGACTTAAAGGCACATAAGAATAAGATACTACTCTTCACGTGAAAAGACGAGTAGTTTTAAAGGATTGGCAGTTTCCTATTTTTTTTAAAGAAAAAAAGCTTAATATTTATTTATTTACTTTACTTTTTTTTTTTTGATTGGAAGTTTTCAGTGTTAGGTGAGGACATGGAGAAACGGGGCACTTGCACTCACGGTGGGTGGAGGTATATACCTGTATGGGGCAAACTAACTCCCAACATGTTATGCTGATACCTGTTGATCCAGCAATTGCACAGCTAGCTCTTTATTCTACAGGCGCAGTGGCACAAATGAGTATCTGTGTAACAATACTCCCAGAAGCTGCTTGAAGGGTTTGAAAACTGCCAGCAACTTAAACACCTTTCAAGAGGCTAAAAAACGAAGGGTACACCCATAAAATGAATTTCTGTACATGCAGCCATTATAAAGTTAATTCTAATGTACTGATAAAAACGATGACTAGTAGAAAGTGAGAAAAATTGCATTAAAGTATAAAATATAATCCCGTTTTGTTTTTAAAAATCCTACCTATATATAAACATAATTTAAAAGTATGGTTTTTTTTTTTTAAAGAAATGGGGGTAGGGAATAAACCAAACTATTAATCAGTGTTACCGCTGGAGGGTAGGGACTTTCATTTTTATTTTATCGATTTCTCCAAGCTATTTAAGCATGCAAGTTTGTAATTAATTTTTAAAAAATACTTAAAACTCTGAATTCTCTGCAGAACAAGACTTGACGACAAGGTTCATGTTGCTTCAGTTAAACTAAAGCTACAATCAGTGAGTGACTGCACTAGACAATGGCCTTGACGTCCACGGACGGCCCAAGGGTGGGCACTTCAGTCTTCAAATGCTGCGGGTGAGGTCTGGGGGGCTATGAGCGGGTAGATGGAAGGGGGTGTAGGAGTCCTGGGGTGGGCGCGTTCCGGAAGGAAGCCGCGGCGGAACTTATTGCTTTTCCAAGTACATGATCCTTCCCAGAGGCGTTGGCCCTGGGGACAAGATTCCTCTTCTTCATCCTATGTACAAGTCAAGCTCTTAAGCGCGGGGTGAGGCGCGGAACAGGGCGAGAAGGAAAGCCTGGGCGCCTGTTGAGGATAGTTGAGGAATCAACTCGCCGCCCCTCATCTCGACGCCCTCTGCGACCGCGACATTGGCCGGACGCGGACAGCGCGGGCGTCACGGCGGCGTCGCGGGCTGAGACCTGGCCCCGCACGGGGAGCGGCGGGCGGCGGGGAGGGCGGGGGTCCCGCTCCTCCTTCCCTCCTCCCGCTCGGCCGCGCGGGAGGCGACGGCTGCAAGGTCACCCCCCACCCCCTCCTTTGAGACCTTTGGCGGCGTCTCTCGGAGGGAAGGACATTTCCTTCTTTCCTTCCCTCCACGTCTGGTGACCGAGCCCGGCCGCACGGGGTCGGGGTGTGCGCCCATCACTCTGGCCCTCGGCGCCCGGAGGCGGGCAGCGCTCGCCCCATTTGGCAGATGAGGCAGCGGCGGGGGTGGCGAGGACTCCGGCCAAGGTCACCCGGCATCGCAAGGGCTACCCCACCCTGCAACTGTGAGTGTGAATGCGCCTAAGTGACCCTGTCTTTCCCTCGATGGCCGGCCCGGAGAACACGGATGTGGCCTTGGAGCGCCGGGCCTGGGTCTGGCCCTGGCTTTTCAGAGCCCCGCGCGTCCGAGGTCGCGAGCCTTCCGCAGGGGAGGGGACCGCGAGGGGGCCGCTCCTCCGACTTCGAAAGGGACTTAGCGGTGAAAGCCCCGAGCGTGCTACACGACCACCCGAAACCTTGGGAGCGTCGCGGCGTCGCCGGGGCTCCCTCGAGGTATCAGGGACAAACGTCCTCCTGGCCCTTGGGGTTGGCCGCCGTCTTCGGCCAGGCTCGGCTCGTGGGGACTCGAAGCCGAAAGGCAGCGGGGCGGCCCCAGCGCGCGGGCTCGGGGTCGGCGCGCCGGCTGCGGGGGGACTTATCGGAAACCCCTGGGTGACGCCGGCTGGGACTTTCGGCTCCGGAACCCGGCACGAACGCGGCACCGCCCGACGCGGCGGGGTCCCCGCGGAGGTCTGGAGATGACCTGAGGACTCAGGAGCGCGACCCCCTGGTGGCTGGCGAGTCGAGTGTCAGCCAATGGCTGCTGGGGGCGGGGAGGAGACGGGCCTGGGGACGTGCGTGGGCCGCGTCCCTTCCCCACCCTCGGCCTCCAGGCTGCTGGGCCCCGCCCGCCACCCTC